CAAAATCCAGATTTTGAATCCTCCCGCTCTTCGGCCTGGGAGTCTTACTGTTACTAAGTGTCATAAAAAATTTTGTCTTGATTATACCAATTAAATGAAGACGATCCCTTGAGTAGACTTTCCCAAAATGTGAAGAGGCTCAAAAGGACAACTAGCACAAATGAGAAACAATTCTCATAGAGGTTGCTCAATATATTCCAATTTTCAATGTGTGTAACTGATATGCTCCACCAGTGTTCTCGCCATATTTATGTTTATATATATTTGCTATTACATAACTTTAATAAAATCTGCAAAAAAAGCGATTTTATCGAGGATATTAAGACTGAAAATAAACTTTTATTAGCTTTTCTGTTCATGCTAATACACGTGTATGTCGCACTGGTAACAACTGATGGATACAGTAATATAAAAGGTATTGAAAAAATTTTTGATCACAATAGAAACCTCAGAATTTGAACGGCATCAACAAGAAATAGAGACGAATACCATTGGCAGTGTTGGAGGAGCCTGAAACAGGGATAATTGTGTTGATAGGAATTCTTTACCTTCCAATACTGCAAAGGGCGTGGCGAGTTCTATAACAAGAAGTTCTATGCCTTCCAATACTGCAAAGGGCGTGGTCAATTCTATAAAGGGTATTTTTTGAGGTATTCCACTTAAGTGGGCTAGTCGCACTTCATTCAGAAAATTGGTGGTGTCATCCAGAGGGCAGAACGCTTCAAGAATAAGAGAGACCGTTTGCAGGCATTCAAGTGACGTGTCTAAACTCTTTCATGAGCGCCTGGGTACGCAACCACTAAGAATAAGTCCATTTGGAGCCTAGACGGCGGCAGATGGTTGCAAGACTGTGAGCTCATTGTCTATGTGGGAGCATCATGCGTTCGGGTCTCCAGCGAATGAAGTCGCTAAAGGTTAGGTGTGTGGGTCATCACTACCTCTCAAAAAAATGATTTCGGTTACAGACTTTTCTCGGTTTTTCGTGTTCCGAGTAAGCAATATAGTGCCCCCGCCTTCTGCTCCACCAGGGCACATCGTTTTCGGGATTCCCCGAAAGGAGTGGGGTCGTATTTGGCCGCAAGCTAAGGCGGGCGGTATTTGGACTGAGAAAAAAACTTTTGATAGTTGATTTTTCTCGTTGCAGGGACGTTGTAAAGGAGGGGGGGGGTCGTATTTCCCTTCTGACCTTCTGGTAGGGGTTGCAGACTTTTTGTGAGTTTTGCTGTTTTCCTGTTTCATGTGCACTATATGCCCCCTCCTCTCCGCTCGAAAGCAAGATTTTTGGGTAATAGCATGGGGAAATTTTGGGAAAATTCCGGAAAAGTGGTAAGAAGTCGGGTAAAATCTAGGAACTCGTTGAGAGGGGTCGTACTTTCTTTGCGGTTTTTCCCTTTCACATGTGCCCCACCCCGGTCGACATCTCGATGAGGAGGGAACCGGGGGGGGGGGGTACCAACCCCCTCAAAAAGTGGGGGGGGGGCGTCGTGCGGGCGGCCCGACTGAAGTCCTCAACTAAAGATGTGCCCTATGCTCAATGGCCTTTTCAAAGATAACCGAAAAATTCTTCTCTGAAAGGTGAACAAAAGTGGTCCGAATTCGGGAAAACTCAGGAGAATGGTTTGAGTTTTTGAAGGAGGTCGTATTTTGCAAAAAATTTTTCCAACTACAGGTAATGCGCCGCTTATGCCCATGAACCCTAAGCCGGTCCAGATTACCCATGCCCTTATGATGATGTTGTTAAGCCCATGATTTCTCTCTCGCGCGCTTATCATCGCCTCAAGCGTCTTGAACTTGTTTTCCAGCACCTCGTCCTTGTTCCTGATTAAGGTCGCCCGCGAAAGAGACTATGGCACAAAAACAGAGCTGAAGGGTTAAGAGGGTCCGGTGGCGTGATGGATAGCCCACTTGCCCGGTCAGCGGGAGATGCTGGTTCGAGTCTCGGGGGTTTGTCCTTTGCCCATGACTCAGTGACGTTATTGAGGACAGCTCTTTTCTCTTCAACAGTAACTCTACAAGCTCCCACGCTTTTGAACTTTACCGGCGGCGTTTTGCAATTGAGAAGCCGGTAAACAAGGCTTTAAAGTGTGATTTGCAAAAAGCGCCAACAGCAACGGTGCAGAACCGGTTATGCAAAAGCGAGATGAACCTCGTGAGAAAAAGTTGCATTATATACTTTTAGTGATGTAAAATGCCTAGTTGGTTTCATTGTTGCTGTTCACACGTTTCACCGATCAGCACTCATCGTGCGCGGCCATTTACAGTTTTCTCAGCGTTGAAAGGAAGACGGATGGAAAGACGAATGAGCGCGCAATCATTACCCAACAAGGTCGTCAAATGATTGCGGCTGTTAGAGACGAGTATTGGTACGCAAAACGTTAGTTATCGATTCGATTTGACTCAATCATTTGTTTTTTTATGGTACTCACCTCGACATTCACGACGAGACGATCCAATAAAAGATTTGTATATACAAGAATAAATTGTCCTCTGAGTAGTAGTCGTTGAGCAATACATACGGCATTTCAACAGTAGTGAAAAAAATCAGTTAAATATTTCTATAGAGTGGTTGAGGTGGAGCGGTTGGTTCGTAACTCCATGGCGGCCAGGTGAAATTGAAACAGCAACACTGCACGCGATGATGTCGTATGGGAGGACGATAGGGGCCTGGAACGGCTCCGGGTGGTGGTGGACCATGCACTGGCTGTTGCGTGATGGCTCGTCGTGTTGGCGAACCAAAGCCACCACCGCCAACATGAGACTCATGATGATAACTGGAGTGAGCTTGACGTCTATGTGAACTGGCACCTCCACGAGCTTCCATCTCATGTTGTTGTCGCCCATCATCTCGATACAGTTCTCGTCCATCATGACCATAACCGATGAAGTCGTCTGTTCTGGCGTATTCTCGTCGAGCACGACCTGGATCGATGGTGATGTTGAGGTTGTGACGTTTTGAGGACGAGGCTGATTTAGGTGAGTAGCCTTCAATTCTGGAAATGTCACGTGGGTTACGTGACCTGCCGTCGTCGTAATTTCTTCGCGTCAACCATTCGGTACTCCTTGTCAATGCTCGAGGTGTTCTCTTCAAGGGAATGTCGATTTCACGTGAATAGGCACCACTTCGACCCGTTGTGTCCATAACCCCGTCCCTTCGATCCTCTCTTCTCACAAACGGAGTATAGAGATCTCTATCATAATCATAATTCCTCTCATTCCTCTCACGATATATCGGTATACTTATTCCTCGACGATCATCATAGAAATGGTCCCGATCAAAAGCATCGCGATGATCCAGCGATTTGCTCCTGAAACAAAAAAAAATCTATCAATGAAACTTTGGTAACGTTTCGACTGCTACAGGTACCTACAGAAATTGATTGTAGTACTGGCAAACTATGCAAAAACGATAAATCATCAATTACGAAACGGGTTTTGTGGAAGGGTAACAAACGCCCGACAAGCCAAATTGCCTCGTCAATCGCGGGCGATGTTGAGACAACTACGATGAACTATAAGAAGTGGAGCAGTAGTCTAGACAAGAACATACCTAAGCGTTTTATCCAGTGGACGATTGTAGGTAGGAAAATCAGATGGAATATATTCAGGATCGAGCCGTGTATGTGAACGAGCTCGTAGTTGTGGAGCAAAGTCATGTCTGGGCACGTCGACATAGTCATGCGAACGATGATCAGGCTCACGAAAGTCCCGATATTCAGGATAGTCGATACCGCGATAAAATTCTGGTGGAGGTCGGCCGTATTCGGGCCTAAACTCCATGATGACAATGCGGCGAGAGGGTGTGGGAGGGCGGTGATCAGAGTGCAATCAGACGGAAAGCTAGCAACCGGCGGTGAGAGGAATTTGTTCTAATATGAAACGGGTTGGCCGTTTGGGCAAGCTGATTTACAACGCCGTTTTCGGGGTGTGGCGGAGGCGGCTGCGTCGTCGTCGGGGGGCAGTGGCGGCAGCGGAAGGTCGGGAAATCTGGGTGGTGGCTGGTGTAGTTGGAAGATGGCGATGACGCGAAGAAGGTCGAGAAATCTAGGCAGGTGCAGAAATAACGGACAAAAACCGATTCGGTGACATTTTCGAGAGCCGGTACCCGTTGTTCAAGTCGCCCACATTGCCTGTGCCATATGTGAATGACACCGACACTATCTATCCGTAAAAACGTCGGTTAAAAGCGTTGAGAAACGAAAACGGAGGCGACAACGCCCTCACAAACTTGCACCTCAAC